TATAACAAAATAGAATGAAATTTTATGACTTTATAGCCAGTTATGTTTTAAGTCCCTTAGGTTAATACATTTTTGCTTTCTCTTCCACTAAAACCAAAAAAAGAACCATTTAGTGTTCAGTAATTATTATCACCACTCTGACTCTCTCACATAAACTTCCCCTGTCACTCTCGGTCTAGGTCAGTCTCTCTCTCTCTCTCTCTCTACCCCCCCCCATGATGTGCACATCTCTTATAAATCTGTTTCATTGGAATTTAAACAACTACTCTTTGTCCTTGACAAAGGCACTTGTCTAACATGTATACTGGTTTTGGAATGACTCATGCACTGCATTGCTTCATTTTCTGTGACAGGCATGCAAAATAGTCCATTAAAAGGAATTAAGATGTGTTATATATGTGTACCAACTTCCCATGATAAATGTAGATATTATGCACTGAAAACATGTAATAATAAAACTTTAAAATTTTTTAAAAATAAAAATGACATGGTGAATTAATAATCTGAATAGACTCCTATATCTTTTTTTTATTCACTAAATTTATTGGTACATTTTAGCTGTGCAATACGATGACATTCATCATTGAGGATTTGTACCTTTACATGAAATATTTTGGTTCTTATTTTTTTTCCATTCCCCTGCCCTCCCTTCAACCCCTCCACCCCTCTGTATTTACAAAGACTTTGTTTCCATTTTTTCCTGTTCTCAAATTTTTTCCTTTCCTTTCTTTCCTTTCTCCTACCCCTCCCAGTTAGGAACAAAAGGTCCTATATCTTTTTTTTTTAAGGAGAAGTTTAATTTTGCTCACACCGCATCTTGAATGATTCTTTTAACTCAAGCCATTATAGGTAAAATAATTTTAAGCAATACTATTTAGAGTTTCTGCTTTTTTAATATTTTAAATCTTCATACTTAACAATTTGAAGTTCACTAACACATCTATGAATGTAATTAGACCCTTGTACTGTATGCTGAAAAAAATAGTGGAATTTCTTAGTGAAGACTGTAGGGAGTTTGGGGATGATTTTTATTTGGTTGGATTTTACTAATGCATTATGAAATACTGCTGACAATCTCTAAAACATATATCAGATTTCATGTATCTTCTTTCAATAGTCTAAGAAAAAGATCTTCATTATCAAGGTTAATTAGAGTCAACAATGGGCTTTTAAAAAGGTATCCTGGGTTAATCTCATATTTATTTACCATCTGGTCTTTCTTCTTTGGAAATTGCCTCATTACTCCCATTTACCTTAGGCACTAAAAATATAAAGAATAGGAAACTGTTTTGGAAGTGATAAAAAATTATTATATAAACTGGTAAAAATTTTCACCAAAAGAATTGAATTATAATTTCTAAACAGTTTTGAGCAAATATGGACACATATAACATCATGGAGAGTTCTTTTTTTCTTTTTACTGTTTTAAACTACACTTTTCATTTTGTTTTTAAGATATTCAGAGTTGTATAACCATCACTAGTTTCTAATTTTAGTACATTTTATTCATTCCAAAAGGAACCATCAAACTCATTATCAATCATTTTCATCCTACCCCTCCTCAGTCCCAGGCAGCTACTAACCTACTTTGTATCTCTATGGATTGGTCTTTTATAGATATTTCATATAAATGAAATCATGCAATATGTTATCTTTTACAATTGGTTTCTTTCACTCAGCTTCATGTTTTCAAGTGCACACATTTTGTATTATATTCATATCAATGCTTCATTCTTTCTGTGGTAAAGTAGTATGCATCATACATTGTTGTATGTATACGAATATACTACATACATTCATCCTCTCATCAGTTGATCCATGTTTGAGTGGCTTCTGACATTTGGCTAATACATAAAGCCTTATTCAGAGTTTTTAAAGATTATTATAATTACTGTAGATTCTTCCTTATTCATATGTATTTTATTTAATTTTTCAAGTTTTTATACTGTTCAACTGGAATTTTTGCCAGGAGTACACTACAACTTAATATCCAAGGAATTGACCTTTTTATAACATAAATCATTTCACCAAAGAACATGTGTTATCTTTCCATTTATTCAAACTGTCTTCAATGCTCCTTAATAAAATACTAAATTCATTCTGTAAAAGATTATTGACTTTTGGTTAACCCAGTTCTTAAGTAGTTTAGAATAGTTTTCTCAATCAAAATTTTAAAAATAGTGTAAATGTCAACATACATAATAGGGAAACACAATTCATAGTGTAATTTTAAAAGGTTACAAAATATAAAGTTATTTAAAGACTATACAGCAACTTTTCATTCCAGTTAACTTGCAATGAAAAATAAAACTTTGATTCTGAGAGTTAGCATGACTATCTTAGTTACTTTCCTATTACCTGACCCCTACAAGTTGAAGGAGAAAAGTTTTACTTTAGCTCAGTTTGTAGAGGTTTCAGTCCATAAGCACTGCTCCAAGGCAGGTTGGTTGACTGAGGGACATCACAAAGGAAAAACAGTCCATGCAGAGCACGCAGGAAGTAGCCACCAATCTTCTTTTTTTCCCTTTATATCTACTCAGACTACAAGCCTATCCATTGGCACCACTCACACAAAGAGGACCTTTCCATTATCCACACCTAGAACTCTGATAAACCAGTAAGTGGACTAATTTAGTTATCACACACCCTTAATCCATAGTCACACACTATAGATCTAGCCACCTATGAAAACCTCACCTATGGTGGCATCCTAAAAAATTTGTTCCTTGGGATTGGGTTCAGAGTCCTCAGAAATCCAGGTAAAGGAATCCTGGATTCAGCTGCTTCAGCAAGCCATATACCCTGGCATTATCCATGTGGGCTTCTTTTTTAGGTGCATGAAGAATACAAGAGTTGTGGGGTCAGAAATGCTTCCACCCAGATTTCAGAAGAAGGCCTGGGAGGCCAGGCAATGTGCTCCTGAGAGGGCAGTGGGTGAAGCTGTGAGTGTGAAGCCAAAGGTGTGTGGAGATCCCAGAAGTCTGGAGAACAGATGAACATGGATTGTCTGAGGAAAATCACAAGGAATGACCAAAGCCGGCTCAAGAGAGAAGCTGTGATAGCTACAACTACTAGTAGTGCGGTAGGAGTGGAGCCACATAAGCTTTTTGGAGTTTACATCTTGCCACAGATTGCTCTGGATGATGGATATTGAACTGTAGAATTTAATATTTGCCCTGATGGGTTTTGGACTTGCTTTGGTCCCATTTCTTTCTATCCCTCTATTTGTATCTTTTGGAATAGTAATATTTATCTTAGCCATTGTATGTTGGAAGTGCTTAACTTTCTTTTCATTTGTACAGGGGCTCGCAGCTAACAGTTTGCCTTAAATCTCAGAGGAGACTTCGGACTTGGACTTTTCAGCCATGCTCTTAGAGATGAACTAAACACCATTTGCATAAAGGGATGTGTATGAGTGTTTGGGGAGCCAAGGGCAGCATGTTATAGCTTATATTTAGAAGTCTCCCCAAAGTCTCATGCAGTCATATATTGGGCTTTTTCAGAGATAGCTTGATCTAGAGTGTGTGATGCTGGGATTAGGGGTGTGTTGTTACTAAATTAGTCCACTGATTGGTTAGACATAGTTTGGATGTGGAGAATGGGAAGGCCCACACTGCATGTGGATGGCCACCTGGATATCCTAGAAGGGATAAAAGCTAGAGGCAGGCTGCTGCCGCTTCTTCACTACTTCAGTACTTTGCTGCCTCTGTCTGTCATGAATTGTTCCTCCTCTACAATGTCCCTCTGCCATGCCACCCTGCCTTGGAGCCAGCTGACTATGTACTGAAACCTCTGCAAACTGTGAGCCAAAATAAACCTTTCCTCATCCCACTTTTGGTTTCAGGTACTTTGTCTCAGCAACAAGAAAAGTAACTAAGGGAGGCTGTTCGTCTCCTTGAAAGAGGTATGAATAAGATAATCTGCAAATGGAAAATGCTACTATGTTATGATATTAAGGCAAGAGATAGAATAACAAAATGCTACAAACACTTTCAATTACTCATTTTTCCTGAAATGGTCACATAATTTTGGTGGTTACATAATTCTCTAGTTTACCATTTGGTATAAATTTAGCAAATCTTTCAGATGGTCGAAATGAGAAAAAATCTGTCACTTAGTGGAAGGAATAATTTCCATTATTTCAGAAAGTATTAAATATAATCATAGGCTTTGAATGCTGTCTGCATAAAGGTTGACTATAATGATTACATGTGCTCCACAATCAACAGATATTCACATTCATTGACATTCATATGGAAATCCTGCAGATCTCTGTTCAACAACTGTCATAATCATCAAAGTTCAGTGAAATGTGAACATTTAGAAATGTATCATGAACTAAAAATCTCCACTTCAAATAACCTAAATGTCAGTAACTTTGTCTCTGGCAACAAAACCCAACTATTGAAAACAAGGTCATTTTAACTAGTCAGTCTGTTTCAAGGCAAAATTTCTTCCTAACCACAGTTGTGGTCTATTCAATAGAATTCAAAAGCAATAATCTATAATTCCACATATTCTTTAGAATTTTTCTAAGTTGGAATTTTGCACATCTTAGTATATTCTTTTTGCTCTCTTAATTTTTCACATGAGGCATGTGATTCAAGTAATAGCATTTGTCTCAGGGTATCTGAGAAAGTCAGATGTGGGGAAGGAGCTTACATTATCAATTGATCATAAAAACTGAATAATAGTAAATTTCTAGAGTAAATTATCCATAGCTCTGTAAAAAAAGTATAATAACAAGCTGATTTTTGTTATCTCCTATAATAGTATTAACATATGTGGGCCGGGGATATATCTCAGTGGCACCATGCTCGCCTCGCAAGCTTAAGGTCATGAGTTCAATCTCCAGTACAGGAAAAAAATAATAATATTAATATAGCTGAATCATAATCTTGAAATATTTTATAGAAGTATTTTTAGAATTTTAATGAATAACTTATTGTTTTATATATAAGCATTTCAATAGTTAAATAATAATGATATACCCACATTTTTATAAAATACTTATTTTATTGAGTTTTTGGGGGGAATTTGATACATCTCCATTGTATTACAATTGAGCCATTAATCTTGTAGCTTCATCAACATTAACTGGTTCATTTTCATGATGCTGCTGATTCAGCTCTTTCTCCAGTGGTTCAAGAGTAAGCACTTTTGAGAAATTTTCAAGTTCCTTCTGAATATTTACAAAATCATTATTCATTCTATGAATTTTTTCATCATTTACAATGTTTATCTTTTTAAGATTAGTGGTGACTGGTTTTGCTTTGTTTTTGGACTTAAAGTTCTTTTGGCTGGCTACGTGAAATACATTCCTGGACTTCTGCCCTCTTAATTTGTTCTTGCCCATTGTCAAAAAGTTCCATCAACCTTTCACCAGACCTTTGATATCCGCGTGATGCTGCTCAAGGTCCAGGTAACACCATCTGCACGCACAGGGTCCAGGAAGTTCCGGGTAGGGAGATCGATATACTCACATTTTAACAGCAACCCTTCCCATTTTCTTGAAAACTTTTGAAAGTATTCAAATATTTTAAATCTTTATTCAGCTATGATATCCTTGAGGATATCATATCCATTCCTGATACACACTGTTATCACTGTACAGTACGTTATCTTTCACATAGTAGAAGTTCCATAAATATTTAAGTGAGCAAATGTGTTTTAGAATATAAATAACATCTCTGTGCTTGAGAGGATATTATGCTTTCTTGAGTAATATTTTTGGGTTAGTCATTATTGCAGCAATCAATTGAATATAGGTATATTTTGAGAAAAAAATTTACTTCAGCTATACTTTCTTACTTTTACTCCTGTTTTACATCACTTCTTCACACCAATGGAACCCCACTGAGTTGTACTGGATATGGGTACCTTAGAAGTACTTAGAAGTACAATCAAGTAAACGCTCCTTGGGTAAATACTTGATCAAATTTGTAAGGGAACAATTTTCAGGCACATGTTAGAGGTATTCTGACTGCACATCATGAATGAGAACTAATATTCACAGAAGTAACCAGCTAAATAGCTCGTCCTAGGCATAACTTCCCCCCCTCTTTTTTTTCTGTTTCACTATTCCAGTTCACATTGTTTCCCTATAATCTCCTAGGAAAAGAAAATGTCTGTATACCTATCATTGTGTTGACTTTTGGGGGCAAAGCAAGCAAAGAGAACATGTTCCTTGAGTGATCCTAGGAAAGAAATACTTGTAACAGCCTTCTAAGACTTATGTCAAAGTCAGAGGCATGGCAGTAAAAGATCAAGACTGAGATCTATTGTATGAGTGGGAAGCCGGCTTTCTAAGAGGAAAAATTCTACACAAGTGAAAAAATTTCCAAGGACTTTTGAGAAGGGGCTCACGTGTATTATCAGGAGCAAAGGGAATATGTGTTTATCCAAACTGAAGATGTTGCATGAGAGACATCAGAATGTGAAGCAGATAGATGAGCATTACTGATATGTAGGTACGCTCCATGATACAGGATTAATTTCTTGTAAATGACACCAGTCTGGTTCTAAGAGTAATGTAGTATCTTCTCAAATATGGTTGTTTCTGTTTTTCCAGTGTGGGGTTTCTTTTGTTAAGTTTTGCAGGTGTATTTGGGAAAATACAGAGAAAGTATTTATCTTATATTTTGCAAATATAGGCACACTTGTTGCCTTTTAAAATTTATGTGGTAATGGTGTGTGACTTTCCTCTAATATGAATGTCTTCTACATGAACTCTGAAATCAGTATATACTACTGAGTGTAATTAATACTGGGAGAAAAGAACCCTAATAGTAATCTGTACAGGAGCAATTATTCCCTAGTTTCAGAGCACTGCATATTCTCCTCTTAGTAAATTACTTATCACTGTAATAAATGGAGTACCTTATAATGTACAAGTAGAATATCGTCATTGACTAGGTTGTGTGATATAGGAATATATTTTACTATTGTCATATTCCTGAGTCTTCACATTTTTTCCTCAGCATCTTGCAAAGGAATTTCTAGTACTTCTAATTTACCATACCAGAATCTTGTTCAAGGCATGTTCCACATAATAAAAGTAACAGGTAGAATCCTCTGAATTCTTTCTTCCCTTCTACAGTCAGATGTATTAAACTAATACCTGGATTTTAGATGAATTATTGAGTTTACGTTACCAACAAATATTTAAACTGTGTGTTATTGAGGATCCCAGATATATTCCCATTTAATTCTCTTTTATTCTTGCCAACATGAGGTGGATAATGGTGGAATGTCAAAAATTTAAAAGCATTAGCCCAAACTGAAATATGTGTAATAAATGGAATATCTTTATAGTAACAGATGAACATTTTCTTCTGGCTCTTGGTTTATGACATCAGTGTGGGATGTGTGTTCTCAATCCTGGTTTGAAAAGAGGAACATAAGAAATTTGTGTTTATGTAAGAAGGAAAGATGAACATTAAGCCCCAAGCTAAGTTATCTCTGTGATTCTGCGTCTTTATTGATCATGTTGATATTGTATAAAAACATCACATTGTCAAATATATTGTTCCCATTGTGCCAGCTGAACTTATAATAAATAAGAAGTATCAAATACAGTAGAGCTTTGGTTCACAAACTTAATTCATTCCATAATTCTGGGGAAGATAGGTGCAGTCCTGTTCTCCACCTGATGTGGAGTGCACTAACGGAAGCAAAATTTCACTGCACACTTCTGTTCGGAAAACAAACTGTTAGCTAGCAGGAGTGTTTGTAAACAGATGCATTACTGTATTTTGGATATTCTTATAAACCACATACATACCAGAGGTTAGCACTTCCCTATTAGATGGAAATCAAGTGTTCGCTTATCTAGATCACTAAACAGTTTGGAAAGTGTGGGCCATTGAATCTTGAGATTTCAACAGACTCTCAGTTTATCTTCAGGGTCAGTAATGTAGTTATTAAATATCTTTGTTTTATGGTACTGAGGATCGAACTCAGGACCTTGCATTTGCAAGGCAGGTGCGGTGCCACTGAGCTAAATCCCTGGGCCTTTAATATCTTTTAACTTTCCTGTCATGATTAAAAGGTTTAGTTTCCTAGAGCCTACGTGTTACATGGTATTGCAAAAAAATTTCAATTCAGACAAATATAAGAAAGTCCAGCTGTTTCTAGTAAACCAAAAATTAAAGATATTTGCAAAAATAGAAAATAAGTTCCTTTAATTTGTTCTCCATTTCTCTTAATTTTAAAATAATTTAATAACATTATATTGCCATTATATATAATACATATATTAGGCTTACTTTTTGTTATCAAATGAATTAATAAAGAAATCTTTTGAATATGTTCAAGTTTAAAGTTCTAATATAGTAAACATTGATAGATAAAAATCATGGAAACAAATCTCTTTGGAGTCTTAATCCTCAATAATTTTTAAAAGTGAAAATTTTCTGAGGAAAAAAATTTGTAATTGCCATTCTAAAGCATTCTACAATGTCCCTGTAAGGTAAATGGAAAATGATCACAACTTGCACCATTTATTGGTAAGAACAATGTAGTTTGATAGTCTCTTTGGATTCTGGAAACAGTATGCGGAAATCTTGCTTTGATTTATTTGTTTAATAACTTGAGGGACTACCCTATCTTAGAGGACCAGGGAGCTATGAAAAGGTTTCATGCAATGGAAAAGCTGCCTAATGCCTAGACTATAAAATTTAATAAATTCAACAGTATTAAATGAATCAAGAAAAGAACATTGCATAAATTATGTAAAAAGCCTTCAGATAGAGAATCTCAATTCAGATCTCCAGGCTTTTCAACCAGGACCATGCCTTCTGCTGCCTGGAAAGGCTCACCGCCTGGAAACCAACATTTGCAGTGCTAGTGGCCCCAAGTAAGACTGAACCATGGAACATCAAATTTGTAATTGAGCAGAACTGCCCAGTAAGAGGTTAATATTGTTAGATTAGCAATTTTATCAGCAAAAAAATAGAGTCATCAAACAAGGAAATAGAGCATTCAAGGTCATTTTCAAAAATGTCAAATGAAGCTGCATGACCCTGTGACCAAGGCACCAATCTTTGTTGCATTGATTTTTTATTTTATTAAATGGAGACTTTTTATGATGAGCTAATAAAGAAGAAAAACATTCAGGAAAGCTTATAAATTGGCTAATATGAAATTTTTAGGCTATTTTAAATGGACTGATGCTTAATCCATGTCCCCAATAAGGGAGATTCTGAGGCTTACTTGTAAAAAACATTCTCCCAGTAAGTACAGTTATGAATACTGGATTTGCTTCACATTTTGTGATGGGAAAAGAGGCTTGGTCTACAGTTATACATCAAATGGTGGACAGCACAGTGCTGAGCATATTGGTCTATTTTTCAGGGTCCTATAAGGAGTAAGATTAGAAGAATGGAAACCAAGATATTTGGAAAAGCAATCAGTAGAAAGGCTCATGGTAGTGCTCATTGTATATATGAATGTTTCAGAGTCACATTAATAGCCATTCCAATTATCTATAGTACAGGAGGCATTCGATGACAATCTCTTCAGGATGACTTATCTTATATGTCCCCTAAGGTCTACTTTAACTTCTGCAATTGATGAAACAAAAAGACTTGGATAAAAGGGATGGAGGACAAGTATTGTCCTAGCAATATGGGATTCTTCTTATTAAGTATAATCTAGCCAGTGCCATTGTTACAATCACTGCCTAATCATTTGGAGTTCCACATGGGAGTGAACAATCGCTCTAAATAAATGAGTAAATAAATGGGCAGAGGTGATTAATCCAGATTGCGATGATGAACTACAGCTCTGACTGGACAGTAGTGGCAAAGAAAAACAGGCATGTCCGCTTGTTTGGCTAGATTAGCTGGAGCATATTTTTTTTGAAAATTCCATGCCCAAAATAGGCAATATTTGCCACCACAATCTTAGCAAAAGTACAAAAACAAAGAGTTTGAATCCTAAGGGAATAAAACTCTGAGCAATCTGAAAAATATTAAAATGCTGGCCTAGAGAGGAATCTATAGTAGCTGGTGAAACACAACACAAGTTATGATTATTGAAATTCTTAAAAAAGTCTTTGGTGGGGAATATTGCTAGGGTCAGTAACCCTTTCATATTGAATATCTTTCAGGAGTTTAGTTCTGATGGTCACTTTGTAAATTCTATGAAAGTATCTACTTAACATAAGAGATAAGTATGTCTGAGTGGTGTCTTACTATTCTATGTTCCATCTCATACTCTTGGTTAACTTTGGTGCACCTGAAATTGATGGAACAACCATCAAATAGCAGTTCAAATTATTTACACTTGGAATGTTGTGTTGTCTATCTTGAGATATTCTGTTGTTGTTCTATTACACGGCTGAAAGAATACTCTTAGATATGGAGGTGCAGTGTGCCTGGACTTATAACAGAGTTAAGACTCCTTAAGGCAACCTATAAAGGACAAGAGGGTCTTTCAGGTGCAAAAT